CGCTATGGAATAGCATTCTGGGGGTTTTTCCACTCAAAACTCTATCCAATCGGTGTTTGTACTACAAAAAAGAGCAGTAAGATATATTTGCCATGCAGGATACGGACAGAGCTGCAGACCACTTTTTAAACGGGAAAGAATTTTGACAGTTCCCTGCATATTCCTTTTGGAAACGGCCTGTCTAATATTTAAAAAATTTAAAAATAATGATACAGTGAGAGACACTGGTTACAACCTACGCAACCAAAATTTTCCATTACCCATTCCGAAATTTGCCTTAACGAAAAATTCTATTATATATGAGAGCATAAAGATCTTCAACAAGCTGCCAGACGAAATAAAGGGTGTGGAGGACTATGGACAATTAGAAAAACTTTAAAGAGATTTCTGGAAACCAAAGCCTATTACAGTCTTGGGGAATTCTACTCAGACTAATCTTTTAATCTTTTACTGTGATCTTTAAACTGTGATTCTTAAACTGTGATATTTTCAATTTTTCAATTACTAAATTATTTATTTTTAATAGGCTTTAACTGATTCATGTAGTGTTTGACTTTATTTATAGTGATGATTGTTTTTTAGAAATTTTGCTACCATCCCGCGCTAACTCGTCGGTTCTGTGTTGGATTTGCTTAGGTATCTGGACGCTATCAGATCTAGCCCATGATAATGTTCTTTTATTTATGTATTGTAAACTGTTCAGGTGTTGTTGATTGTATATAGAATTCTCACTGTTATTTTATTGCTTGTCTTTCTAGTTTTTTGTCTTATTTTTACTCTCAACACTGACATCTAAATTTTAACTTAGTATACATTTTTAGGATATAGGAAATTAATTTTAGACTTTTTTTTTTTGCTTTGTCAATGGAATTTGCATAATTTTTTGGACAATAAAGCTTTTTTGATTTGATTTGATTTGATTTGATCGGAATAGTGGAATAGTTCTGTTTGGAATAGCTCCAGTTCCTTAGCAGTATTCTGTTCTACTGTATTTGCAATGAAATTACCGCACAACGGCGAGCTTCGTTCTAGGTACCTATCATATATGGTGCCGTATACAAAATGGTTGTGGCGGACTCATAACCTGGCTCTCTGCCACTCGACACCAGCCGGACGGAGCACTCCGAACAGTCGCCACGGAACACGGCTGTCAAGGTATGCTTAAGAAGAGAAACGGAACTTAGCCACAGACCGTCAATGGTCAAGCGTCAAGAAATGACAGTTCGCGCTCTTTCGGAATGAACGAACCAACAACAAAATAAAATACACAATTGAAACATTGTCCTTCTATTTATTTTTGGACATTTTTACTGTGAAGAACAATTAAAAATAAAGTGCTTTCCACAAATTGTTTTTGTGCAAAGTGTGTGACAATAAAATCCACATGGTTTGCAATGAAAATGTGACGGTAAACTTGGTATCGGTTATAAGAGATGGCGCCGTATGCGGGCTTAGTGAGTTTTTTTCATAAATAAGTAAAATAGATATTTTTTTTTTTGTATTTTTTTTTGTATTTTTTCGATTTATTATCGTAGGATGGACAAAGACAAGTCCAATAAAGCAAAAATCATAAAAATCAGTCCAGCCGTTCTCGAGTTATAAGTGCTCAACACCAACACAACTGTGTTTTATATATATAGATTTCTCGAGGGTAGGTCACTGGATGGAATTTATGTACACCTAATGGTGAGTTTATATAAAAAAAAAATGGAGACTTAAACTAATTTAAGAAAATTAACTTTCAAGTGAGAATTTCAACGTGCGCTTATGTAATTCTTAATTCTTAAACTCGCCATAATTACAAATACATTCAATTACCTACATGTATTTTTTTGTAATTGAATGTAATCGAGAATGTAATTGAATGTATACCGGGTGCCCACGAGATCACTTTCCGGCTGCCATTTTTTTATTTTTCTATCGATATCAACGAAACTTGATAGGGTTGATATTCTTACGAAACGCCATTTTTATACATTATTGACAAGTTTTGTTGACTTCCGGTTTCACCGGAAATGACCGGAACTTTTAATTTTTAAATGGCACACCCTGTAGATTTTCTGTTCTTCGGATTCTACAGATCGTTTTACGTCCTAATGCACCACTTTTGAATCAAGTTTTGTCCAAATTTTGTTTTTAAATTAAATTTAATTTTTTTCACTAGAGTGCCATGATCATCCTAAAATGACTCTACATACTTTACTTAATTTCAGAAAAATATAAACTCAATTTTATCTTTGTAAAATTTTTTGATAGAGGGCTGTGAACTTCACTATTTTAGTAGTTTTGCCCTAGCTCAAAAACTAGAATAGGAACATATCACTTTCATAACATTACTAAATGCAGTATTTTGAAGCGAATCCAACGATATAATACACTATGACATTTTTCTTAATTTTCGGGGATAATACCACGAGAGCTTCAAAATTACCGATAATTTTTCACGATTGCGTGTTTTCTATAATTTCACGAGTCCGTAGGACGAGTGAAATTTGCAGAGAAAACACACATGAGTGAAAAATTATCTGGTTAATTTTAAAGCTCAAGTGGTATTTAGAGGATTATTTCACGTATGAGAATGCAAAAAATATGGAAATAAATATGTATTAAACGATTTGAACATCTTAACAATCAATACAAATAAATGGTTGCTATCAGGAACCGTTTGTTTGTATCAAAAATTAGCATGACAACCATGTATACAATAACATGGGAGAATTATCGCTGTAATTCTCTCTAGTTAAACAAATGGAAAAGAGAATTTTCGCTGTAATTTTGAAAATCGTCACTCTTCTTATGGGATTTCTAACACATGAGTGGAATAATCGTTAAAATTTTTTTGTTTTATTAGGTATGTAGGTTATTATTTTTTTTCTACTTAAAATTTAATTTGAAAACGAAGTTTGGACAAAGTTCGATTCAAAAGTGGTACATTAGGACGTAAAACGATCTGTAGAATCCAAAAAACAAAAAATATATAGGGTGTGCCATTTGGAAATCGGAAGTATCGGTAATTTCCGGTGAAACCGGAAGTCAGGAAAACTTGTCATGAATGCACAAAAATGGCATTTCGTTAGAAAATCGAGCCTACCAAGTTTCGTTGATATCAATGAACAAATAAAAAAATGGCAGCCGGAAAGTGATCTCGTGGGCACCCGGTATAAGTAAATGTATTTGAATGATTCAATTAGGTTAGGTATAACTGATGTAATTAGGTATAATTAAATGTAATTGGATATAATTAATTGTAATTGAATATGATTAACTTTCATTGGAAATAAAGATGGGGGATGGGGAGGGTATGTAATCATATCTAATTGGCAGTAATTGAATGTAATTATTTAAATGTATTTGAGCGTAATTTGAACGTAATTGAAAGTAATTGGGTGTAATCGAGTGTATTTAAATGTAATTGAGTGTATTTGAATGTATTTTTCCAATTATTACATTTCAACATTTGTACAAGATTTGTACAGCTAATTGGGGAGTGACCACCCCTCGAAATTTCTTGAATTTATATGATTTGATAGCCCGAAAAAAGTATTAACTTACGAGAAGCCCATGCCACTTTCAATTAGAAAAAAAAGTGGAAAGGACAAGATTTGTGTACGGAAATTTAAATTAAAATAGTATAGTCAGCTAAGTTGGTTGTTTGGTAGAGATCAAATCACTTGACACTTAACAATATCTTTAATTAGTGGTGAGTGAGAAAATGCCGAGGTGAAAACATCAAATAACTTACCCAATCATGTAGAAAAATTATTTTTTTGAAAGCTTTAAATACCAGTTTTTGGGCGTGGCACCCGGAAAAATTTTCGCGCCTCCGGAATTTTTTTGAAAGCTCGAAATAACCATTTTGGGCGTGGCACCTGAAAAAATGACATCTGACACTGACATTACTTCACGCACTAGTGTGTGAAGTGAATTACTTTACACATTTGTGCGTGAAGTGAAATTTTACGTATTCTGCATAGTTTGTAAAGTGAGTACTTTACGCATGGTAGTAGAAAAAAGTGTTTTTTGTTGCTTTCGCCATTTAGACTAAAACAAAATATCATGTGTTATGTATCGTTGAACTCGCAATTTTTTTCTCAAAATACTGAACCAATAAGATAGAGGGTGTTCCATTTGAAAAATCTTTGTTTTTTCGAATATCTCAGAAGATAAAGCTCCCATATTTTTTCTAAGTACGCCACTGGATTCTACGTAAAAAAAGACGTATTTTTCCTTTTTGCACTTTTTCTATATCTCCGTAGGGTAAGAAGTTATAGAGGATTATTAAAAACAGCTGATTTTGAAAAACACCCTGTACCTCGCAAATCAAACTTGTTGGCCAAGATCTGACTACACCATCAAATGACACACTAAAAAAGAGGACGGGAAGCGTATATCAGTTTCTCAGTATCTTCGGCCATTTTGGCTGTACCCTATCAAACTATCGAAAATCAACTACCCTGTACATTTAATTCCAATTAATTGCAGTTTGAATAAATAAGAATTGAATGTGAACGTACCTTTACGGTTTTTAAGTTTGTTACATGAACATAAATTCAATATGGCGGCAAAGTAAAAAATCTATTATGTGTTTTTGTTTTTTTTTTATTTATACACTACGAAAATACGAAAATTATCCCTCTGAAGTAAAGAATAATCCCCTTAATTCTAAGCTAATTACACAGAGAAGTTTCATGACAACAAAATGTTAGGGTTGTCTGCCATTGTTTGACCTTGACTGCCATATGGATTTGGATTCCCCTATTCAACGACACTGCCAAAGAAAAATCAATATGGCGCCAATGGTCAAAAATCTGTGATGCTGATTTATTTCACCTACGTTTTATTGACTTTTTGAACTAAAGTAAGAACTTATATTGATGGTTTCTCATAAACGAAACGTCGCACCTATGTAAGAATGTCACATAGTAGAGCAAAAAACATCTACCTATAAAACATTCAAATTTTCCAAAACTTATTTTATAAATTAGTTGACACCCTGTATAGTCCAATCAAACTTTGACTCTTCATTATTCTCATCCGTCAGACAATTTTCCTCCTATTGACAATAACAAAAGTCAAATCGGACGTTTCGTCTCTCCAAGACCAACAACAAGACAACAGAAACCTCGATCCTCTACAAGAAGACACTGATGACACACAGCACGACCAAAACAAACGCACAATATGTCAATCGTTTAATAAATGTCAAACACAGCCTACTAGTGCTTACGTCAAACGTCTAGTGATCAAAGGAGGCTACAGTTTGAGGCCTACTATTGGCTATCGATATCCAAAGCCTAAAATTCAATTTAGACTTAAGGCACCTGCTATATTGAGGCCCACCATTAATCAAGGCTGGAAACAAATTAGTACAGCTTCTAAGCCGGCCATTGTTGAAGTACCAGCACCCAATTTGAATTTGAAGCCAGTAGATCATGTACATCATGGTCTTCAAACAGGGAATCATATAGATGTTCAGCCTTCAATAGTACATCCGCACATTGATCATGGTAAATGTTTTTTTTTTTTGTGATATTTTTAGTGTAATTATTAATTGTTTTTTTTTATTACAGGCGTTCATCCTACTACAGTTTCTGTAGCTCCTTCAATTTTAACTCCTCAATCCTTTATACCATCTCCACCAGCTCCAGTTTTGTTCGAAGTAACCAAACCCAATTTAGGAGTGTTACCGTTAGGTGCTAAATTCAATGTGCCTCCTCTAGTGCCTCAACCTTATCATTTACAACCTCAGCCTCATTATCATCATCTACAACCTCAGCCCCATTATCATCTACAACCAGAACTATCTGTAGAGTATCACGGCACGAGAAATTTCTTACCGTTTTTACATCATCAACATGGTGTGGTGCCTCATCAAGTTGTTCAACCTCAATTCCAACAAGCATTGCCTCACGATCATCATAGTCACTTTTTACAGCCTCATGAACATCACACTCAATTCGTACACCCTCAATCGTTACCTCATGAGCATCAAGTTCAATTCCTTCAACACCAACATCAATCTCTACCTCACGAACATCAAGCTCAATTCCTTCAACAACAATATCAAACTTTACCCCATGAGCATCAAGCTCAATTCCTTCAACAACAATATCAATCCCTACCTCATGAGCATCAAGCTCAATTCCTTCAACAACAATATCAAACTTTACCTCACGAGCATCAAGCTCAATTCCTTCAACAACAGCAATCTCTAACTCATGAGCATCAAGCTCAATTCCTTCAACAACATCAATCTCATGAACATCAAGCTCAATTCCTACAGTCTCAATCGTTGCCTCAAGACTACCAGAGTCCGTACGCGCAGTCGCATTACCCAGTGGACGTGCCTCAGTACCAATTGCCTCTCGAAGGCGAAGATGCTCAACAACTGAATTCCAACGTGATTCAGCCTGGCCAGACCGACGTGCAGATTCCGTACCACTTGCCTCAGCACGGCAATGGCGTCGCAGGCGGTTGGCAACCGGGAGAGAAATAATTTTTTATTTTGTTTTGAGAAACTGTGATTATTTATTTGTTTTTGTTTCTATTGTTTATTATTATTTTATTTTATTTTTTTAAATTTATTTATTTGTTAAATATTAGCCATTTTTTGTTTTAATTTTGCTCCTTTATCCATTGAAATACAGTGTTGTCGTTATGAATGAAAATGGTCTAATATTCCAGAACAGGCTTTAGAAAAATGTGGAAATGCGAATTCAAGATTTATAGAGCGGCTGATAGGCCCAGTGGCCTACATTTTTCTAAAGCTTGTTCTGAAATACTAAACCGTTTCCATACATTTCAACGAAAAAGCTGTGTTGCCATATTATTTCAAAAACCAAGTCAAATGAAAGTTTGGATTTTAGGAGTTTCAAGTACAATAATTAAAACATTTGCATGCAACGAATGTTTTGTCCTTGTCAACGTTATCAAAAAGTAAACAAGAATGATAAAGACGAAAAATTTGTTCTCTCGGGAAGCTTTACTCCCTGGCCCGAGAATCGGCCCCCTTCTCCTCTGGATCCCTATTCTTGAACCAGGGAAGTAGCATTCCCAGGAGAACGAGTGTTTCTTCTTTGCTGCTTATATTATGAGTTGCATTACATTGAAAAAGACTGAACACTCGTTCTCCCGGGAACACTACTCCCCTGTTTTAAGAATAAGGACCCTGGAGGAAATGCGACTCAATGATCCGGAAAAAAAATATTTTATTTAGAACTACATACGTATAATGTTGACATTTCTGACTTTTCAAAAGTTTGAAAGTGACACTTTTTTGAATCTTACTTTCCTTCCGGGTAAAAAGTGGTCCCGTGGGCCGGAAGTAAATGAAATTGTTAATTATTGTATTTTTTAGTTTCAATTCAAATAAAAAATTTAAAACTCGAATGATTGTAAATAAAATAGAATACATATACCTCGGTGAAAAGTTTCATTACTGTCTCGAAATTTTAGTTAGACCTCGGCTGCGCCTCGGTCTGACTAAAATCTCTCAACAGTAATGAAACACTTTCTACCTCGGTATGTAATATACTATTAATTATCTGAGGATAACTCCTGATCAATTCCATAATTTGTTGAAAATGGTTGGATCCCAGTCAGATAGAATAGTATATTTCCTAACTAGTGCGGAAAGTACCACTTTTCCGCAAGCGGTTGCAGTTTGCCGAAAGACGCGCAGCGAAGTTCGGCAAGCAATCAAGTGCGGAAAAGAGACTTTCCGCACGAGTTAGGAACACTATTTTTTCTACGAGATGAGAGGTAGGTAATATTTTTACCTACATATTTATCAATTTAACATATTTTTTTTCGTACCTGTACCTGTAGCAGTATACTTGTTTACCTGTAAGCACCTGTGTACCTAAAAATTTTAGGTATTCTACTCAGTGCAGAAAAAAACGGAAAAGTACTAGTGCGGAAAAGTGGTACTTTCATGACCTAAAATGCGTGCGGAAAAGTATACTTTTCCTTTCCGCACGCTCGTAGAAAAAAACATTTTCACGTAAGGGAACCGATGAAAAGTGGAAACATACAGGCCTATGATGTATCCTCTCCTGTTATTTCAACAGTTGTATTATAGCTCAAAACCTATACTTGTCTCTATTTTTACGTGTCGAATAAACAGTGACAGATAACTTAACGTTGCTGTTAAAATAACAGAAAATGATACTTCATATAGGCCTGAATAACAGAACTATAACTGAAAACAACACCACATAACCTCACTTTTCTGGCGAATTTTCGCGAAAAGTTTAAAAAAATTGACTTTTTTGCGATGCCGCAAGAAATTAAAAGTTTCGCGAATTCTTCACGCCATATAAAATTCAAATTTTAAATGTCAAATTCCAACCAATAGTAAAAAATCCGCGTCTATGGAGAGAATCGAGACTAGGCTCTCTAGTGGTCGGTCCTGCCACCCTATTGTTACGGCAATGCACTGGTGGTAAAACTTACTTACCAAGACAAAATAAATAGTATGCGGTGTTCAACTTGATTTCGTGTTACATGCCAGAAATCATGTAAAACAAAAAATTGTGTGTATTCAAATTAGTGAATTATTCAATTTTCAGTAATCATGAGGAGGGTAATTACCCCCCCGTAAATCCGCCCTTGGTTTCTCGTTTCTCCTCGAGTTGAACGAGATGAACTAATGATTATTATACCCTAACAAAGAATACATACAACTGCGAAATTCCAAATTCACTTGAGTATAGCAAAAAATGTTTATGCTTTTACTAACATTTTAAATAACACTTTGTAAAACAATAACCCTTGATATTTCACAACCATTTAAGGTAGAGCCATTTAATCGAAAAGAATTGAAAAAAATAAATCTAAATAATTTCGAAGACTCACTTAACACATTTGTTGCCACGTCATACATATATGGGTGACAGTGATGTTTGCCGGTGGGCCGCGTCATACATATATGGGCGACATGGCCTGCATGCATAACTGCGCGCCAGGCCGCGTCATACAAATATAGGCGACGATCAGTGTATTTTCAATAGCGATTCTGAAAGGTGGCCCCCTGAGAAACATTGTGATATACTTGGTTTTAGGAAATCTTTAAATTTACATATTCTACGGGCATTGAAAAAAAAATGGAAGGGAAAAGTGGGAAAAAAATTAATTTTCATTCAAAAACTGCCAAATACCATAATTCTAATAGCAAAACTTGAAGATCTTTCATGAACATCATCAAAAAAAATAATAATTGAAAGTGAAAAAAAAAAAATTCTCTACACTTTCTACTTATAATAAAAAAAAATTAACGACTCACAAACTAGGCAAATCAAAATGTTTACGAATGTATTGCATTGAAACATGGGAGACCAAATAAATAATAATTGAAAGAGAAAAAAAAAAAAAAATCTCTACATTTTCTGCTTATAATCTGAAAAAATGAACGACTTACAAACTGGCAGGCCACGTCACCCATATAAGGGTGACACTTCAAAAACCTCTTTTGACAGTTGAATCACACAAAAGATATCAAAAAGCGTCTAAAGCTAACGTATTTTGAAAGTCAAACTCAAAAAATCTCAAAAAAAACATGTGGCCCTCTGGGAAACATACCCAAAATAGCCGTGGCACTCAATGTGTTAATTGCAAACTCAATTTTGACTGTTCTCAAATTCGACATAGAGAAAATTGCATTTAATACGGAAAATTGGCATTACGAATTTCTCCGTATACCATTTGGGCTGAAGAAAGCCCCCGTACAGAGAAATGAGCATTGAAATTAGGACAACACATTGGACAGGTACGTACGGTACAACACTTTAAAAAACCTCAACAGTAGAGTAGATATCACATTCCATTATAAGGAACTAGGTGGTAACATTTCTCTCCTATACAGCTGGGCTTAGGGGTGAACTTAGTGTTCAATTTGTTGAATAGGTTTATTTTAGGTCGATTGTGCCTTACTTATTGTGAAAAGATTCTTTATTTCAAGTTAAAAATTTTAGAAATAGAAAATAAGATGTGTTGAAGAACCCATCAGATGATTTGATTTGATGAGTAGGTACTGGTTTTCCGCATTCTTCTCCTGCAAAATGATCTGTGAATATTGTATATGAGTGGTGTAAGCAGGGCCGTAGCTAGAGTCAAATTTGTGATAGGGCATGACAAATTTGACATAGGGCATACAACTCCCCCCCCCCCCTCTTAATTTTTTTTATAGGTTAACAAAATGGAGGTAATGGCGCCGAAGGCAAATTTTTCAATTAATAACATTTCTGGAAAGTAAACAAAATGGCGCTGATTCTCGTGCCGCCTTGGGCCATCGCACTTTTTCAAAACGAAAAACTTCTTCTGTGCAAACGGTTAACGTCAAACATTGTTGCATACATTTAGATGTTTTCGGAAATATTTATCCTCAGATTTACTCGATTTCAGGTCTATTCATTATCTACTTTTAAATTTCCTGGAGAAACCTTAAAGAGGGTGTGACCTTGAAAAATGACTTAAGCTACTTAAATCAAGAAAACAAATCTAAGATCTCTCGTGAAAACCGCAGTCCTATCTATATTCAAAATACTCTCCGAGAAAATTCCTTCAGAGGATAAATTATGCAGGAACTTGTGATGTCACAACCGCCGAAATCGCAATCTTCTGTTCGTTCAGTCGTAAGTGAATCGTACCCTATACTTTGAGTGGTTGCAATGAGGAAGTTGCCTAAAATTTTATTTTGATGCAATAGTACATTAAAATACAAAATCACGTCTTATGAAACGAATATTTTATACTATTTTTTCTATTTTGGTATTGTTTAATTAAAAAAAACAAATTTTCCTTGGAAATTTTATTCTCATATTTCCTGATTTCATGTTTAGGTTGGTAACACTACACGCCAAATATAGAAATCTTCTTTTTTATTTTTATTTTTATCAATAATAAAATCGCAAATGACAGTTCGATGGCCATCAGTCAGCCAGTGTTACCAACTTGCGATAAGTAAAAAAGGAGTGTCACAAAGAGCTTCTTTTGATTGACTATTAATTTCGAGACAGAAATGAAAACTTTCCTCCGAGGTTTGTATACTATTTTATTTGCAAACAAACCATTAATTATGATTATTCATTCAATTTTTGTAATATTAAAAAAATAAAACAAACATGCCAAAATATGTCATTCACCTGTATTGACGTTTTTAACTGACATGTTTTCATTGTTGCCAGCAAAGGTAAATAAATTAGAGTGAGGGAAATCGGTGAGGGAAGTCGAATAGGGAAATCGGTGAGGGAAATCGAAGAGGGAAGTGACACAGGTAAAGTGTCACTTTCAAATTTTTAAAAAGTCAGTAATGTCGAGATTACATATATGGTTGCAAAAAAAGTATATTTCTATATTCAAATCCACTTTATATTAAACCACTAATAAATAATTAATTATTCAAATTAAATATAACAAAGGGCGCGAAAATGCTCTCAAATTGATTATGACGTCATGGAACGATAAACAAACAAAAGTGTGGTTATGTTTACTTGTGACGTGAGCCGTCAGACACTTGTATTCACATCGAATTCTACCGACGGATTGACCATTCTATGTCGGTCATTGTCATTTTTCATTCACTAAACAAAGATAACTACCTCATCGGTGGAGTCACCGATTAGAACAAAAACTAGGGGAAACTTGACTACAAAATAAATCATCTGTCACATGTAAATCGCATAAAACCAATGACATAAAACACAATGGTTAAGACAGAGACAGAGATAAACTCGTTTTGACGGATATCGTCTTGTGACGTCATTGATTTACCTACGACTGCGTTTTCGCACGAAGAGAGTTATTTTGAGTTTCTATATTTTTTTACAGAAAAACTATTATGTAGTTAAAAATTTAAAAAATGTGCAAATTCCTCATTCGCTCTAGTGAGATAATTGTGTGTTGTTTTGGAAAATTTTAAACGTGTTGATACTGTGCTTCATAATTCGACGTGACGTCACAAATACCTAGTTGTAACTTTAAACCGCCCTTAGTCGAAAATGGACCATCGTAGCAAGATGCGGTTCAATTATTTATTCTTAGATTTTTTTGCACTAAAACTTCCATTTTTTGGTCACACCCCCTTTAACGCATGTTGTGTTTTAAAGATAGGGCATCATCATTTGAAAGATAGGGCATTGCTCCCCAATGCCCCCGCCTGGCTACGGCCCTGGGTGTAAGTTCAATGATATGTCACTTAATATGGACAAATGCTCTTCACTCGCCTGAGAATTTCTATACCCGCGAAATATTCCATAATTAATCATGCTCTTACTGAGGTGTTTGTTGTTAAGGACCTTGGCGTTTACTTGGACACCAAACTTAGTTTAGTAGAGCACATCGAACATATAATAAGTAAGGCTAATCTGTGGTAAGGTTAATAGAATATTGAGTTTCATTAAAAGAACCAGCAAGGACTTTACGAATGTATTTACTTTGAAAGTGTTGTATACGTCACTGGTTCGATCCAATTTGGAATTTTCAAACATAGTTTGGTCACAGTTTATATCGTACCGATACAGTTGTTCAACTCCGTTGACAAACCATTGATTTTTTTGAAGCCAAATTAAGGTCTGTTCGTAGAGAAATCACAAACCAGTCAGAGCGAATTTCATTGGTTGAAACTAGTTTTCTGACTGTTTCTGATTGTTTTCAACCAATGAAGTTCGCTCTGACTGGTTTGTGATTGCTGTGCGAACAGCCCTTATATGTCCCTATATTTCGCGCTTGCGCATTATTGATCGGAAACAACAAATCACCACCATATTTGTGGAAAAGAAGACATTCACAAATCACAAAATCCAAGAAGACAGACCATGCTAAATTAAACTACTTCATTCTGACAAAAATACCTCCACCTGCGAACAAACCGAAGTTAAAGTCTCACATAATGGTCATTCTTGTCAAAGAAGCCATCCAACTCAAGTGCTTTCAACAAACAAAAGGAAGTACCTACAAAACATCATAGGAATATTTATGCTTCATACTAATTATTGATTGCCAAGTGGCCACCGCTTCCAAAATAGTTATCAACGAAAATAGGTTAATCAAGACCGATATTCAACCAATACTGTTTCCTGACACACCAAATACACTCGCCATGATGCCGACCCTCAATCTAAGTCGACATCTAAAATATTTGAAATTAGACGACCTTCACGAATTGAGCAAAGAAGTAGGTAATGGACATTCGCCCACAAATCAATAGAATACTCAGCCTTGGGACAATCCTTATAATGTCCTCATCGTTATTGCCTGTATCTTCTTGGTTTGCATGAAATAATATGTAAAAGCCATCATGAAGAAAAAGAGGTCCACACCCGCTCCAAAAATAAACCAGATTATTCAACTCCCCCGCTAGTGTGGAAGCAGTGTTGCCAGATCTCACGATTTTGGTCAGAATTTCACGATCTCACGAATGGGGTAGCAATTCTCACGAATTCTCTCTGTAGTAATACAAATCAGTAATTATATAAAATATTTAATCAATCGAAATAAAAATCTACTATACAATATTTAGTTATGTTACGCCGCTCCTGGGTAAAGTCGCGCCCTAATAGGACTTCACTTTTGGCGTAAACTTTCCTCAACTTTTGGCGTAAAATGCATCATCCGAGTTTTTAATAACTATAGGTCAAAAAAACGATTTCTTAAACGTTAAAATCATCTTTTCTAAATTTAAAATCTACGAAATAATTAACTCACAAGCACACAAACTGAATCGAAAGCAATCCACCGACGACCGCTATTAGCTGCTGATAGTGGTGACGTCACTCGCAGACCCACTGCCGACTTGAAAATTGGCGAACGTACGCCTTATGAGCAATTCTGCGGATAATGAACTTAGTAAAAACAAGGCTAAGCTTCCAGAGACACCTGCTAAAAAACGAAAAATGCCTTTATTTTCTTATAATATTATAAGCAATTTCTAGTCTCACAATTTCTTACGATTTTTCTTTCTCAATTCTTACGATTTTTTTTAATTTTATCTGGCAACGCTGTGTGGAAGTTGAAGCTAAGAAGGGAAGAGTTATTCTACGTCTATTTGCTGAGTCCTCATTTTAAAATGCCTATTCTGCTTTTGAGCTTATTATAAATATACAGGGTGTTTCACGAACATCGAAGCAGAGGCGTTTGAGTATTTTAAGGTCGATTTAAAAAAAAAAACGCTCGGACACGTCATTTTTGTATTCAAGGGGCAATTTGGGGTATTTTAGGGTCGATTTAACTCGGACACGTCAATTTATATTCAAGGGAAAAACTTTTTGACCCCATCGGTACTTCGCTAAGGTGCACCTCCTGAGTGGGGTGACTAGCACCCCTCTTTTTTAGATAGTAAAGATGAAGCAGGTTGTACCTTGTTTTAAAGGTATTTTAATTCTCGTCACAACTGCGTATTTTTTTTTTGAAAATCGAATGATTAGTTCTTAAGATATTCACTGTCAAAGTTGCCATGGGCTAAAAAGAATTAATAATCTTCTGGCCCTATTATTCTCAATTTTCCTCGCCGAAACATTAATTTCCATTCTTTGTGTGCTTCTGAGAAAATGAAAATTGACTTGTTCGAGAGGAAAGTCAGAAAAGTGTTAATTTGAGAATAACCGGGCCAGAAAATTGTTTCTCATTCAGCCCATGGCAACTTTAACAGTGAATATTTTGAGAACTAATTATTTGATTTTCAAAAAAAATACGCAGTTGTGACGATAATCAGAATACCTTTAAAAACAAGGTACCACTCGACCCATTTTCCCTACCCAAAATAGAGGGGTAAAAGTCACCCCACCCAGGGGTGCACCCTAGCGAAATACCGATGGGATCAAAAAGTTTTCTCCTTGAATATAAATTGACATGTCCGAGTTAAATCGACCAATACCTCAAAACGCCTCTTTTTCGATGTTCGTGAAACACCCTGTGTGTATATTTTCCTAGGATAGTCAGTCAGCTGAAATTAGTTATAATTGTAACTTTTATTATAACGTGCTTTTTGCTAGTATAAATTTTCGGATTGTTAATAAAGTCATTTTTTTAAAAAACCAATCCTCGGTTTTTGATTTGTTAACTCGCTGAATTAATTACAATAACAATAAACAGGGACTTTCATTTAAAATAATTAAGTAAGATACGGTAAACTTGGCAACATTGGAAGAACCCTATTGAATCGGGCCGGGCATTTCCAAAAACCCAGATGGTAGGGAATATTGTATATTTTTCTTAAATTATGAAAAGTTAATTATAACACATTCATATTGAAGTATGACGACCATAAAAAGCATAAAAAACAAACAAAAATATAAAAAATATAAATAATTTATTAAAACCTAAGATCATCACAACAAAAATTGAAAAACAATTGGTTACGTAACTAAGCTGGGTGAACACAACACACTGGATTTAATTGGCATTATTTTTTTTTTTTAAATGGACGTCAACTGTCAATTGTCAAACTCTAATGATGGCCGTGTCCGTGATTGTAAATATGAGGTCCGAATCCTCTGGTGACCAAGTGACCTTCGATTTTGGGTGCGTAGTTGTGGAAGATGCCGATGCCGGGAGTTTCGAAGACTCTGGTAACAACTGGGTGGCCGTGGATAATGGGGGTGGCAAGATGGACTTCACCACCGCCAAGATGGCCGCCACCGCCAAGATGGCCGCCAGGGAAGGCCATGGCTACAGCTACGAGAGCGAAGAAAGCAATCTATGGACAATAATAATTAATTTTTAGAAGAAAAAAAAAATCAAGTAACTTTTAAACAAAGAAAAAAACACTTACCAAAAATTTCATTTTTTTATTGTTGGTAGATGGCGTAGTTGTTGAAAACAAACCGAACACTGCACTGTTACAATTCACAAAAGACCGTATTTATATTGAATCAAAACCGAATGTGCCGTAGGCAGACGGAAAGGGTAAAATCGTGGGGAGAGATTGTCCGCGCTGTGTTATCTGACGCTCGATTTTTCTACAACAGCCGCCTTTGCAATAATAATCGCGTAATGGGTAATTTAATATCCGCACGTTTTATGTAATAGTTACCAATAGAGAATTATGTCGTTCGTGTCTCAAGTACTGTTGTAACAGGACGATGCAGACCGACAAGTTCGAGTCGGTTTCTTTGAGTTTTTCTTGTAGGACGTACAATTTTTGTTCGATTGTGCTCGATGCCATTTCGTGCACTTATACTTGGCTACTGAACTTTGAACCTTTCCTGGTTATTGTCGCGTGTCGAGAAAAGAATCGATAACCATCATTTTTCCGTTAATAAGTGCATGCGATTCTCGTATCAGGATCACGGCCTACTATTATTATACTCGGAATAAAAAAAAACAAATAAGATCAAATTAAATTCTAATTAAATTCCTTATCAAATAACGTATAAATTATGAAAATCTAAAAACAAGCTACAGGTCCGTAACAGCGTCGTCTCTTGCGCGTATTAGTCGGACAAGCCTTGCCACCATTTTGCGCCGGTCTTTTAACCATCCTAAACCTTTCTTCAAACCCAACGCCGCAGGTGGCGCTGCACGCACTCCACGGACTCCATGGCGTCACCATACAATCTACAGCCTCCTCGTTGTACAGCTGCACGTTCGGATTGCTAGCAGCTTTCGGCTCTTGCCCTTCCAAAGCCTGCTTCACTATACTACAACCTTGCATGCACTCTTCAAACGTTAAAAAGTTGTTTTTGTTGCCCCTACAACCGCCGTAAACGAACTGTAGACAGGTGAGCTTCGAAGAATCAAAGTGCCAGCGGCTGTAGTAGCCCGGACAAGGTCCTTGGTCGGAGGGTTGCATACAAACAACTTTGGCTGTAGTCATATCGAAGCTACAGTCGGGCGTGTCTAAGCAAGGAGCTTGCTGTAGCAATTCCACTCGTCCTTGGCATTTTTCTTGTAGCTCTGGTACGACTAGTAAAAGTCTTTGACGGAATTTGACGCCTTTGCCGCAAGAGGCGCTGCACGGGCTCCAATCGCTCCAGCTTGTAGTCGGGCACATCGGATCAGTAGTTTCTTTGGTTGAAGCGGAACAAGGAGGCCCCATACACTTTTCCTTTTCTACTACAGTTATGTGAGGGCATTTCTTACGGCCCATTTGATCTATGAAGAATCTGTTGCGCATTTTGAAGCCCACTCCGCACGTTTCCGAACAATCTGACCAGTCGCCCCATGGGCTTGTGGAGCACACGCCACCTTGGTTACTGTCAAGATTGTCAATTGTGATTTCTTCCTCTTGTGATTGGTCGTCGGTGTTGTCACGTGGACATTCGGCTAGTGCTGCCACGCACATTTCTTTCGAAACTAATTGTCGGTTGCATTGGAACATTTGGGCTTTTTGCGGCAGCAAATAGTCTCGGGTGCGCATTCTTAAACCTTTACCGCACGTTACTGAGCATGCGCTCCAGCCCGTGTATTCAGTCACAGCGCATTCGGCTTAAAAATAATTATTACTCATTAATTTTTTTTTAAATTAATTTTTAATATAACACTTACGTCTCACAGTATCCTCAGTATTCTCACTGACATCTAGTTGCGAATTTAAAAAGTTTTCGTCACACTGCTTGGCAATCACTTTGTCTCTTTTCAAATATATTCTTGCTAGTGGTTCCATCTCAGTTTTGCTGGGGTCGTAAAACGGTGCCCTAGGGTCTTCCGGATAAGTAGTACTGATGCGATAGATGCGCTCTCTAGGACTGGTTTCAGCGTTGGGTGACATGTACGTAATGCCGCTATCGGTACCTGCGTCATACGGATATAGATTCAGGGTCATTTCCGGGATCCAAGAGCAATTTTGTAGGCAAAGATTTAAACCGTTCACACCCACCACCCAATCCGGAGACGGACCTGTACAAAAAATCAAAATTATTAGCGCCATCTATATGTGCGAAATACTAACCAAACATAGATGCCAACGAAATCAAGTGATGTCTCCTGTCAACCTTGAAGTTAGTTGATGTATTTGTGTTGACATTTGGATGCCACAATCCTGCGGCCTTGATTATGGTCCTTAGAAATTTGGCTTTGGCCCTGAGCTCGATTTCCATCATGCGCACCGAGCCCCACTCCGCGAGGCTTCTGAAGCCTTCTGAGGCTATTTGGCCTTCGCCCCAAAAAGTGAAGTTTTTCTCGTGCGACGCACCGATGACGTCAGAGAAATGGGTTAGCCATAAGCTAAAAGGGTAATCTTTTGGGTGAGTGGCTTTGGACCAAAGTCCTTCGAATGTTAACTGGAAAAAATGGGGATTTTTCTATTAATAAGTGACGTCATAAGGTTTGTTTTTACAAGAGTCTTTGACAGTTTGCAAACTTAGGCATATACATGTTTTCAATGCCGTCATTCCAAGATAAATCAGTGGCGATTTGACGTTTTGTGCATTTATTAATATTCAATATGGCACCGTGAGCATAGCAAACTTGACAACCGTGAAGATACGTTTACATTCAATTCTTAATTGTAATTGCAATTATTGAATGTAAAGGTACCTTTATGATTGTTAAGTTTCTTATGTCTACAACGCCATATTGAATATTAATTATGAATTGACGGAACGTGAAATCGCCTAACTAAATTACCGATAGATCCACCATTCTATGTCGGTCATTGTCATTTTCTATTCACCAAACAAAGATAGCTAACTCATCGGTAAATTCACCGATTAGAATAAAAACGCGAGAGGTCTCTATCAGAAATGGCGCCTGGTTGGCACACAATAAGGGCGATTTGACGTTCTCTCAATTCAATATGGCGCCGTGGGAATAACACACTTAACAACCGTTAAGGCAAGTTTACATTTAATTCCCATTCAAATTGCAATCAATTGGAATTGAATGTTAAGGGTAAAGGCACCTTCCGATGTAATGCTGTCCTTGTCATTTGACAGCAGCAAAACAAGGATAGGTTACTCATCAAGAGAAATGCGCATAAGCAAATGGTGAATTTAAAAACTTGGCCATTATTTATGTTTTCTGTTGGCGGGAAAGCTCAAGCTCCTGACATCAGGTAATTTGACATTTTTTTGATATCTTTGACATCTAACGACCCGTATTCCAACCTCATAAATTTTTACAAAATGTCGGCTGCTTGGCAAAATCACGTGGTTTGGATTTCCCAATTGTTTCTGGCAGTTTTCAAACTGTCATAGACTCTTGTGAGACAAATATAGAGGGTGCCTTACAGTGTATTTAGCTTCTTCGCATGCGCAACAATCGCTAGCATCAAATTGGTCGGTTTGTTCGCAAAAAGTTTTACTCAAACCCCCCTCATCAGCAAACCAATGTTCTGCATTTTCCAGCACCATTGCCCTAAAATAACATTTGTACAAAATCTAGTAAGTACAGATAAAGTGCCATTCATACTAGACGTACCAGCACAGTTACGTCACCGACTATATAGAAATATTTGACGTGTCGATGACGGTACGGTACGTATAGTGTGAATCGCGCATTAAACAAACGATTTTTTTTACTTGAATGTGACGCATCCGGATCCGGGAGGTGGCGCGGCCCACATGAAAAACACTTCGGTTTTGGGCGTAGCGTAACGTTCCGAAATGGTGTTGACGCATTCCTCGTTAAAAGTCGTTTGGTTGTCGCCGTACAGCTGAAAACTGCCAACAGTTTGAGGCGAAATGTTTTCCGGACGGTCTGACGATTGCACGTTGACGATGAAACGTTGGAATTGTTGGACGCGGTTCAGGGTTTTGGTTCCCATAAGATACACTAATAAAACACAATGTTAGAACTTTGTCTAATGTCTATAAGAATATTGAATTGTACTTACAAGTATAAAGTTTTCCAGGAACGTACTTTTCCGGATTCTCGTTGATCTTAATTTGGTATCCATTATCTCCTGCACTTTTGTCGAATCTCGAATGATAAATGCTGGGCACTCTAGGGCAATCGCCCAACGCCCCGACGGAAAAAGCGCCCAAAAAAAGCAACAATTTCCACATATTTTTAGGTATGCGGAATTGTTGAGAAATTATGCCAGAATGACTTTTTATCGCTGCCAAGAGAAAAGCTTGACCTTTCTTTCAGACGAGGGTTATCGCGTTGGATTAAGGTCATGTTTGTTTCCGTTGATAAAAATTTAAATGGGTTTTTGTAATTGGATTTGTGGATTTTGTCACAAAACTACTGATCTAACAATGAGATTCCTCAAAAACAAAATATATCTACCCGAATAACTTGTAATCTTTTTATAACTATTTTATTGTTAATTTTTTACAAAAACAATTTTTTATAATATATTCATCTATCATTATTATACAGGGTGTTCCACTGGGAACTAAATCGATCTGTATGTAGAAAATTTTTGAAAATTTGAAAAACTGTGCGTGCCCATAGTTCAAAAGACAATTTGACGTTCTCTCAATTCAATATGGCGCCATGGGAATAAAGTTCCGTTCTCAGAACCAGGTCGCTCGCGGCGACACCTCGGTAACCAATAGAAATCAAGCATTCAATTGACAGGTCGATTCCTATTGGTTACCGAAGTGTCGCGAGCGACACTACATAGTTCTGAAAACGAAACATTATACACCTGACAATCGTAAAGGCACGTTTACATTCAATTTCCATTCAAATATAATTGAATGTAAAAGCACCTTCACGGTCGTCAAGTTTGTTATGCCTACTTCGCCATCTTGATTTATCAGCTGTTTCGAATTGCCCAATTAGGCCAAGGTTGTTTCAGAGAGGTAGGTTATTTGATAACTTTATGACGTCATCTGGGGTGCCTCATCATAATAGAAATCTCCATAAGGCACCCAAGATACGTTATCAAGTTACTTATTACCAGGCTTCAGGAACTCTGCTCCATGCTCCAAACCACGTGTGATTTTTCAATATGGCGTCTGTGAGAAGATTGACATCTCGATTTTGGTGTGAGGATATTATTCTCGCACGCAAAATCATTGAGGAATGAAGCTCATTCTTTAACGATTTTTGGAGACATTTAGTTTTTAAGGTATATATTAGAGTATTAGACTATCCAAGATGTTTGTGTTCCTCCTGCTTACCATATTTTGCTTATCAAATTCACCGGTTTTGGATAGGCTAACGGATATCTTCAAAATTGACAAACCCAAGAATCATAATCTCTACAGTATTGCTCAATCCCGTAAAACATATGTTCACCAAAAGATCGAACATGGAGGAATGCGAGCGACGTCACGTGCCATCATCGCAATCCTTGATCGGATTGTTTTTGGAGTGGAACTTTGGCGGCGTTCTGATATTTGGATGACAATGCAGAGTGATGTGAAAAACGCGTCACGGTCAAATTTCGTCACTCGAGAGAAAAGAAAGATATAACGTAAAGAGACGGAGAAAGACAGCTATTGATTGACACATACCAAGGACTATACATGCAAAGAGGATTGCCTATATTATTGACAAGCGTCGATATTGACACAAACCAAGAATTATAAGCGTAGAGAGGATTGCCTATTATTGACAAGCGCCGACAACATTGTGACGTCACTACAGATGCGCGTTTTCTTTTTGTTATGCTATTACTATTGTGCTTTGTGATTATTTTAGATATTTATACATTTGTGTGTTCCGTTTTTTTTTTTAAATTATATCCGTGAACCGTCATTATGTAAGTATATTGAAATTAATAGAATATGATCAAAAATTATATTAGAAACGGAGAAAAACAGCCATTGATTGCCACATGATTGCCACAAATCAACGATTATAAGCGCAAGTAGGATTGTCTATTATTGTCAAGGACCGATATCCATGTGACGTCACTATAGAGGTGGGAAACTATCGAAGAATCTAACTATCGATATATCGATAGTAACCAATAAAAACTATCGATGTATCGATATAACTATACATAAAAAAAGGGTTTACGTTTTGGACCCATTTTGGCCATTTTGTATTTGGAGTTTCAGCAATTAGCAGGTCAGGGCAAGCCAAAATGGTAATGTTAATGAACTCCAACAGCAGTGTGCACATGAAGGTCTGAGATGAAGGCCCTAACCTTACGGCCTACACCCTCTACCACAACGGCCTACGCCCTCTACCACTACGGCTTACGCCCTACAATATAAACACAACGAGACCTAGAGAAAAAAATACCCAAATGAAAGTTAATATTGTGAATAACAATATGTTTTAATTACACACGTTCCTTTTTCCTCCAAACTGGAAGTGCAGAATAGAAATAAAAACCACTATGAAGTGAAATACAGTGTAGTTGAGTTGTGTAGGTTATTGTTGTTAACTGATGATAACAGGAAACCTAACTAATCTTTATCTTTTTTAATTTTGATTTCAACTACCATACCATCAAAACCAAAATAAAAAACATCAAATTTGTTCGAGAGATGGTAGGTTTCCTGATAACTTTTATGGCGCTATCTGGGGTGCCTCAACATAATTCCAAATCTCTATAAGGCACCTCAGATCAGATGACGTCCTTTATTAACTTTAGGAGCCTTAAGGCCAAATTATGGACTGACTGGACAGGAGAACTGCTATCGATTGTCCAAGTAGAACTATCGATAGTTACTATCGATAGTTTCCACCTCTACGTCACTACAGTTGCGCGTTTCTCTGCATCTTTACACCAACTCATACGCTAAGTTTAAAAGTTGTATGAGGGAGAGATAGTTTTGAAGAAGTTTCACTTTTACCGCTGCACATGATCCCTTTTATTATGACAGTGCATTTTCAAACACGAAAAATTTGTTATTTTATATACGGGATAATGAACTTCCGCCTACGATGGCATTTTGGAATAGTTTTGACAGGTCGTTGGAATGCCTAATTGGTTGACGTCAGACAGTTGACGTTAATTCAAACGCGAAATAGTTAAGGAAGTAGACCGAAAAATAGGTTTGAAATCTATGCTCAAATTATTTTTTCTGAATGCCTTGTCGAAAGTACTACACTCCAGTGTTGCCAATGTGGTGAAGTCGGATTATCCGAGTTTCTAGTTGAAATTACCCGATCTTTACTCGCGTTTGCTGTGGTGTGGTGTTACCAGGTTTGTGGGGCCAGGAAAGGGGCATATTCCAAAGCAGCGCTCAGCAAAAAAAAAAAAGTATTTTAGGGGTCCACGTTTCTTTTTGTTAGGGCCTCTAACTAGGGATAGATCACTGGATCATAAAGGGGATGGGGATGTCACTGCTAAATAATGCACTCACACTTCCAGTTTTATATCTCTCTATTGTTGCAAAAATAATCGTTTAATAAAGTAATAAATACTATAACTACATTCAAGTACTTTTAATTATTCACAGGTTAGTTAACAAGTCGCATTTGAGTTATTCGAGAACCTTCACTAATCGGTATAAATTCACTAGTTGTAAGTGCTCAATAGTCAATTAAACAATAATTGTCAGTATTAGCGGAACGCTAATATTTTAGTTGAGAGCACAAGATAAAGTTTATTCTTAATAGAAATCTTCGGGAGTTGAGAGTTTTTATATTTTTAGAGAGCCCTTAAAAAAGGGGAGTGTGATTAACTCAATGTTTTACGCGATATTATATCACTTGAGTTTTCAAGCCAGCAGCCAGAGAGATAAAAAAATAAGTCTTTTTATTTAGAGAGCGAGAGAGAGACTGCACAAGGGTGCAACTAGAGAGAATAATTAAATAATTAGAGAAAAGTGAGCAGGTTCAAACTTGTATAGAGCTAGACGTTTTTACGCACTATTTACTGCTAGTGAAACCACACTACTAAAATCACAAATCACACTGCGAAGTGAAAAATATAAGGAATGCATTTTTTTCCCTTAGCGACAACAACCAGACTGGATCGATGCAGTACAGCCTGGTACGGCACCAGCGGCAAAGTTTTCACGGCGGGGGGCTTTTCAGCAACGTTGCCACTGTGATAATAAAAAATAAATACGATTGTTTGGCTGTTTCCACAACACTTTTTTTTTAAGGGTATAGGAGAGAAAAGGATAAAGATAAAGATCTGAACATATATAAACAAATGCGCAAGCGCAGTTCAATTCAGGACTGATTCTGAATTAGTCCGAACAATCCTAATGTTAAAGTTGCAAAGCCGCATTTTGCATCAAAATTTATTTCAGATTAGCATTAGCCGGTTAGGTTAGGCAGGTTAGAAGATGGATAGATTGGGATTGTCGCCGGCCCGGGTCTCGCCTTCTCTTTCCTTGAACTTCTATTTTCTATCTTTCTTTATAGAAGGGAAAATAAAAGAGAAACAAATATGACCGGCCACGCTCGACAGAAACGAAACATTACCTTAACAGATCGGCCATCCGTGCCATCTACGACAATTTCCAAAAATTGTAAAACTTAACATAAAGCTTCGATTACCCGAAATTGCTCAATTTATAAAATGTTAGAAAATTACCCCGCTTTCATTCAAATTACCCGCAAATCGGGTAATTACCCGCATATTGGCAATACTGCTACACTCTATCAACAGCTCATAGTAATGTCCCAGGTACATACAGGAACTTGTTTTTTTTTTTTTAAATTGATAGGCTGAAATTGAAATTATTGGCGTTTTCATCTCTTTCTCTCAGTCTGTTTAAGAAACAGATAGCAATACATTTTCTTTGCACTGATTCTACCAACCGGAAACGCCATGAACCAAAAGAATCTTGGCAGTGGCGTAGCCAGCCTCGCGGGGCGGAGGGGGCAAACATATAAAGGGGCGCATATAATTTTTTTCTTTTTTTTTTTTTGGGGGGGGGGGGGTAACAAATGAATAGGATAATTTTGCGAAACTCTATATTGTTTGTTTGCTTTTCTGATATTGGCTTATTGGGGGAAAATATTACAGATGAAAATCGCGCCGCAGGCGAAAAATTCACGGGTGTTACGTGTACCTAATAGAATAGAACAGAAACTTAAATGAAAATAAATAACTATCAGACAATGACGACTAACGATAAAGAATAAAGGGTGAAGAGGTCAATAAAATAAATAAGAAACAGCATAATTTTATAATTTCTTTTGCTTTTGTTTTTTAAGAGTGGTAGGGGCGCCATACATGCAAGGGCGGGGGGGGGGCTATCGCCCCCCGCTGCCCCCCTACTGGCTACGCTACTGAATCTTGGTACACCACGCCATGACAATATCTGCGACATGATGTCATTTTCATTATTCACCTAGGGAGAGAAATTCATTTTTTTTTTGATTGGCAGGTTGAAATTGAAATTAAACCATATAAACCGGATACGTCAGACAATATCCTCGCGTCATTGCGTCATTTTTTCTTTATTGACCTAGGTTTTTTTAATTATTTTCATCATTAACCAAGGATGAGATATTCAATTTTTTCCTAGAAAAATAGATTGAATAATAACTATTTCTGAGGTTAGTAGTGGAAAAAATATATTTTGTAAACATTTCAAGAGTCGTTATAAAACAAAAATTTTCAGTTGGATAAAGATGATCATCAATAGTTAAATAAATACAGTCTTTATGGGTTATTTGAAAAAATGTATACAGACCAGACCAACCTACTAGAGGCATAGACGAATTAGCTTATACCCGGTTTAAGCGAATTGAAGCGGTGCTGCCGAAGATGATTCACCGTGACGATCCTGCAGTGAAATGAGTATATCAGTCAACTAGTCTCATTATTCAACCCTATGTGTCTAGTAGTCGGCTCCTGTCTCGGTATATTAATAAAGTTGTAATAAATTTATTGCCATAATTATTCTAACATAGGTACAAATAATCACAGATAAACTCGCCAGTTAACAATTCCTATTTAAAGTTTCTTGCCTTTAAGAGTCTGTTGAATCTCTTCTAGAGTTTTACCTTTAGTCTCTGGCACCCAGCTCAAAACCAAAAACGAACTCAAAAAGCACGCGATCGCGTAAACCAAAAACGGACTGTACATGCCGATGTTGGTCACCATCAGATGATAAATGGCGTTGGTGAGCATTATGCCCGCGCCGAAAAACACCATTAAAACTCCTAAGGCTTTGGATTTGATGCTCGCCGAAAACAGCTCGCCGAGCATTAAAGTCGGAACCAATCCCAAACCGAAGGAGTAAGCAAAAACCCACGAAAACATTCCGGCTAACGGGAACCACTTGATTTGCTCTAAATTTACCAATTGGAATTGTTCCAAAAAGAAGTAGATGGCTAAGGCTAGTAGCACACCACCAGCACTTAATAAAGAGTAAAAATATGAAGGTTTTCTGCCAAATTTTTCTACAGAAATGCTGAAAATTAGATTTAAAATAATAATCAAGCCTGTAAATATAATTGAAGAGTATTGTGGACTTAAACTGGTGCCAGCTTGCTGGAATATGGTTTGCGTGTAGCTAGCAAAGGTGCTTATGCCGCAAAACTGTTGCGATACTCGCACGAAAATTCCAGCCCGCAACGCTCTCATGTTACTGCGTATTCGAACTAAATCCAACCAAGAAGCGCTTTCGGAGATTTGTCTTTCCACGTCAGCTTTAATGGCGGCGTAGTCTTCTTCAATTTCTTGTTTTCTTCTTAGCCATTTTAAGCTGGCTTTTGCTTCTTCTAGTTTATTATCTTTAATAAGCTGATAGGGCGATTCTGGTATAAATAGTACGGAGATAAAGAATATGATCGGTATTGGTAAGCAAATGTATGCTGAAAGTGTTACTGAGCAATAGCTGCCAATGGTGTTGATTATAAGTTGACCCAAATAGAAAAATAAGATTGGAGTGTTTCCGAAAGTTCCTCTAACAGTGGGTGTCGATATTTCCCCAATATAAGAGGGCACTGTCGTAAAAAACACTGCGTCGGCTATTCCAGCGATAAATCTTGCAGCGATGAATTCCCACTTGGTTCTAGCGAAAATCAGCATCAACCACGTGGCAACGAGAGGAATCGCCAGGAAAAGGACGCATTTTTTCCGGCCGACTTTCTCCGATAGGCTGAAAAAGAGGAAACCGAACAGGATCATGGCGGAGGATTGGTAGAGCATGAATTGGGAAGTGTCGGCTTCGGTGACATCGTAAGTTGGGTCTTGGCTGATTACTAAGGCGAAAGGCGAAGACCATACAAATTGCATGCCGTTGTTCAAAGGACCGAGAGATACTGAAAAAAAAGGAAATGCAGTATACACATATATACAGATATAAGACCAGACACATAATAGGCTTCAATGGAACCAGTTAACTGATACTCATATTACCCATGTCACTGCATGATTCAAGATAACTGCAGTTTATGGTTTAATTCTCAATAATAACAAATTAAATCTTAGAAAATATTAATTTTTACTATAGTTGAAGTCACGATAGAGTTGGAATTTTGACCGTTATTTTCACCAATTGAAAGTGAATAAAATCCCCTTTTCTGTCAACGATCAAATAGTGATACATGACATTTTGATTTGACATATAAAAATATCAGATTCGGATCTTTCGAATTTTTGTGTGAAATCGTTTCAGTTTTTTTGCAGTTTTCTGCATTATTTTTTTGATATTTTGTTATATTCGCAATCGGTTTTTTGGTTTTTTATGTAGTGTTCTGTGCCTTTGTGTTTCGGTGTTGCGTTTCAAATCTGGTATATCACTTTTCTAAATACGACCCTGTCGTTTATCCCAACTGGTAAAATCGAAGCGCTAACGCATGCTGGCAACCTAAAGAAAAAGTTACTAGAAATGTCAACGTGAACTGTCAACTTCACTTTCTATCGTGATTTGATATTATCAGTGATAAACACATTTTACTGCTCCTGCGTGTAAGCGAGCAGACACGTCACTTGATAATTCTTATAATAGTCCTGATTGATGCTGCTCAGCGTGTAAAGCTGTACTTTTTGACCTAGGTGCATAAATAACTATTAGGGTCATGTCGAGTGTAGACGACAATAAAGTTCAAATTATAGACCCCAAATTATTGTATTTTTTTTTATTATTGTGTTTTTTTAAACAACTTACTGATAAATGCTGTGCTGATAATAAAATAATAACTATAAATTTAATTTTTTTCTCAAAAACTATTTACACGGTCGCACCAATAATGTTGTAATGAGCATTAATTAGGACAAAGGATTTGGTACAATCAAAAATTCCTTACCTGCACATATAGCCAAAATCTGTGGCCAAACTTTTCCCTCATCTTTCTTAAAAGATTTTCCAACAATAGAAGTATTTTCCAAAACTCCCATTTTCTCCAATTAACATAACAATTATTTTCAACGATAGTTTTGTATGCGGGTTTTTTTGGTTGGTGAAAGAATGAAAATCATTATACGAACACCGTAAAAATTAAATCATTTACAAAGATTAAGATGAAATTTACTTAGTTTATGTTGTGTAAACTTTGCGCGATAATAATGAATGATAGTTGATTGTTTTTATTTTATTTGGCAAGTGAAGCTGAGATTATGTAAGTTTTGAAAAATACGTCGTTGTTTATTTATAGTTTACTTTCAGTTGATTTTTTCTAATACAAAGCGAAAAATTAATCTAAGGTATTTAGGACACAAAATCTCAAAATAAAAAAAATTGAAATTTCATCGTTTTAATACAGGGAGCTATTTTATGATTTAGATTTTGGAAAACTTTGAAAGAGGTCATAACTTTTTTTCTATTGAAAATAGAAAGCTGAAATTTTCAGCGATTCTTATCCCAATAGAGGACTACAATTCCTGAAAATTTCAGCTCATTTAGACTTTTAGTTCCAGAAATCCAAATCTAGGGGCGGCCACAGGCCGCCTATAATTCTGTCATTCAAGATTCAAGTGAAACTTTTTACGAATTTCTCAAAATAAAACTAGGTACTTCTTATAAAAAAATAAGCTGAACTTTAAAAAAACTCCTGAAAAATGAAAATAAACCCCGATCTCCTGATAGCATAAATAGAAAGTTTAGTGCACAGTCAGTGTGTAGACTTACGCACGATAATGTTTTAACTTTTTACACATGCATCATAAGATCGCATATTTTAGTAGATATAGTTTGGAGATTCTACGCCCACCGTCCACCGGTGGAGCTTCCAGCGCGCCTGCGCGTCCCCGCCTGACGTGCCATCTATCGGTACCTGCCGCAGGTGTAACATCTAGGTTCGAGAACCGTCCCCGCCAGACGCACCATCTCTCGGTACTTGGTGCAGGTGTCCGGTGCGCCATCTATAGGTTCAGTTGCCTATAATAGCCCCGGGGGGCTTTTGTAATTATCGCTCCCTGCTATAGGTGCCCAAATCGGGACCTTTTGTAAGAGGTTGGCCCGCGGGTTAAACCCCCGAAATTTCAAATCAAAGACGCCACCGATCTAGAGATTTTCCCACGGTATCGAAAAAGTTCCCACGCTAGCGAAAAAGTTCTCACAGTTGGCCCGGATCAAAACCCCGAAATTTCAGATCAAAGACGCCGCCGATCTAGAGATTTTCCCACGGTATCGAAAAAGTTCCCAGGCTCAGGTGCCCCCGTTAGCTAGACCCTGTTCTTAGGCATACCTTATTTGATGCAATTGACGATGAAGATCAATGAAACAACAAATTTTTGGTAAAATTTTATTCATTAAACCTTAAAATAATCACATTTGCTCTTTCCTATAATTAGGTATAAAATTCTAGACAATAAAATACCAAAAACTACAGCTATGGTTATTATACAGGTATAGATTAAGTAAATAGATGCATCAGGTCTAGAATCTGTTGAAGTGGAGTTTATAGTTTCGTTTCTACAGATGATTTTGGAGATGGTTTCTTGCTGCGAACCAATTCCGATAGTTGTTCATTGCTTGCTATCTAAAATGCTGTTGTTCAGGAATTCCACTCGCAATTTATACTGGTATAATCTATTCCGCGATTCTGGAAGTACTGTCTGGAAAGTGCGTGTACGATCATTGTCTATGAGGCGGTAGTAAAGCGGAATCCATAAATCGTTGGAATAGCTATCCGTTTTCAGCTGAGCCTTGATATTTCGGACATCTGATGGCGGATGTATATAGAAGATATTTTGAACGACTGCTACGAGAGCGATGAAATTAGAGCTAAGCCAAACCATAGTCTCAACGTTAATGACTGAGTCCACTATTGGGTCAGGGCTCTTATACAGAAATAACAGGTATTTTGTGATGAGGGAGGTCCATCTACTTGCGTCCTCCAATTAGGTCTATTATAATGCATGAAACAAGGAAGTCTTGTCTGCAACTCAAAATTTTTTCTACATTCGAGTGGTAATTTCCCCCAGATATTCAAAAGTGTAGTACTATCGACATACTGCAGAAAGAACCCAATTGGTAAATCCTTCAACTCATCAGCACTACAATCTTCTATATTTTTTTCACCCGTTAGGAATTTCAACAATTGATCACACATCTTCAACAAGAGCTTCTACTAGACTGAAAACGGAGACAATTATTGTGCTATATTCAGTTTCCCTTCCCTTTTGGCTTTTTAGCGACCGCTGTTGCAGGTGCCGGTGTTGCAGACTGCTTCACCTTCTCATTAATCATTTTGATTACCTGACCTTTGGTGACTAAGGTGCTTATTCTGTAAGGCTTAACGATCACGTTAAATAACGGAAATCGGTAAATAACGGTCGGACCTATTCTGTAACATCGCTTGTTAAGATTGATCGTTACGAATTAGTTATTTAACGATGACTACGAACGATTGTCGTTACTAAACGATTTGCCCTATTTAGTATCACCTTACGATCGGTATTTAACTATTGATAACCTATAAATTTGATCGTTATTTAACGGCAGCTATTGGGGTTATCGTTGTTAGTGAGATCAGTGGTGAATCCACGTGAAAGTAAAAAATACTGCAATATCGATATTGTTGCAAGGATGGAGAATATTTTGAATAAAGTGCTGGAGGAATTAGACCTAAGAAATGATAAAAATTTAATATTACAATTGAGAGATTTCAATAACCCGTTCAATTTACCTGACAAGACGCCGAAGGAACACACGTCATTGTGAAACTGTTCTAAACCAGTTTTGAAAAATGTTTCAAAACTTTGAGACGCGAGAAAATACCTCTGGTACCTTTAGGTTCCAAAGGACAGGTTCATTTTCAAATATACAATATATGTATCGGTGTATAACATTCTACGTCTTCCGATTCCCGATCTCCAACCATCTCTGTCAATCCAGCCATCCTCTTCCAAGTCTCTGTCTCTCATTTCCTCGTCTACTCCACTTCTCCAGCTTCTTCTTGGTTTGCCGCGTCTTCTTCTTCCCTCTGACTTCCACTCAATAATTTGCTTGGGTACCTTGTATATCTGCCATTCTTTGTACATGTCCGAACCAAATCAGCTGTTTGTCCTTTATATCATCTACTATTGTGTGTTTTACGTCCATAATCTCCCTTATTCTCAGATTTGTTATCCTTTCCATTTTTGACCTGCCTGCCGATCTCCTCCAAAAGTCCATTTCAGTTGCTTCCAGCATTTTGCGGTTCTGTTTTTTAGTGGATAGAAATAAACTAAATAAATATGCCTGCTGGCCGTACGACAATGAACCACGTGATTGGCGTTCGGCAGCAGCACACATCAATACGATAGTTCGGTTAATCTTCAAAATTGGGTTTGTGCGCATATGACGACACCGTACTCTTTACTCTTGACGCGGACTCTACCACCTTTTTAATTCCGAAGCGTCTGGGAGCAGCGTGAAGTCACACGTAGTGGACTTCGCTTCGCCTTTCTTTGCTTCGTGCCAGTTTACCATTGAACTAAAAAAACACTCTGGAACGGGCGCACTGCTTTATGCTAGTGTGCCAAATTTTGATGCATGCAACTCAGCAATACGGAGGGAATTTTGTCTCGCTCGCACTCATTGCGATTGATGTAATAGGAAAAAGAACTTCTTCATCTTCCTAACTTTAATGATCCAAACACTTCAAACAGCTGTTCTCAATAGCCACCATAGTGCAGAGAGAGATGCAAATCCCTCTTGTTTGTTGTCCTTCCTGACACAAACCCTCGCGTAGAAACAATTATGCAGCCACCGTTCCAGTGTGTTTGTTTAGTTTATTGCAGTTTACCGACAATTGGCTAGAAAATGACGAAGGACGAATATGCACCAATAGCACCAAAGTTACCTTCCCACATAAGCCCGAATACCGAATGTTCGCCGAATACACGTAGCGTCTGGGACCGGCTTAAGCAATCGTTCGTAGCTCGTAGCGGATCGTTACAAACTTTCCCAACGACACCGCCTAACGATCAACCATACAGAATATACTTTATAACGACTATCGTTGAGTCTGTCGTTAGAAAACGATCGTCCGGTAACTAATCTTAACGCAACGATCAAGTTACAGAATAAGCACCTAAGTCGTTATCGTTTATAGCATTTGCAGCTCTAACTATTCTCTTTTCACCAATGCTTATATAATTTTTCGTTACATTAAACACCTTATGTTGTTCTTCTAAGGCAGATAATCGAACAACCAATTTTGTTTTAATATCATTTTCAATAGACTGATTTTTTCTCAGTAATCTTCCAATTTTCTTCTGACATTCCTTTATTTGGGACTCCAGCTGCTTATATCTATTCTCTTCTTGTGAGGGTATCGCAGTTTTCACTTGGTTTTCCATATCTTTTCTGAACGTTTCTGAGATTTCTTGAAGCTTTTTATCCATGTAGGATTTTGTAACAATCTTGTGTAAGAACCTATAACATTTGATTCTTTCCTCAGTATCATCATGTCAGTCGATAAGTTTGGGCGTACGCAACGTCTTAACGACTACAAAAATTTAGTAGTCAAACTAAGCAACGTAAAAAGTCCTGGTGGTGGTGGTGGTTTTTTGTTTCATTGATCTTCATCGTCAATTGCATCAAATAAGGCATGCCTAAGAACAGGGTCTAGCTAACGGGGGCACCTGAGCCTGGGAACTTTTTCGATACCGTGGGAAAATCTCTAGATCGGCGGCGTCTTTGATCTGAAATTTCGGGGTTTTGATCCGGGCCAACTGTGGGAACTTTTGCGATAGCGTGGGAACTTTTTCGCTAGCGTGGGAACTTTTTCGATACCGTGGGAAAATCTCTAGATTTTCTTTGATTTGAAATTTCGGGGGTTTAACCCGCGGGCCAACCTCTTACAAAAGGTCCCGATTTGGGCACCTACAGCAGGGGGCGATAATTACAAAAGCCCCCCGGGGCTATTATAGGCAACTGAACCTATAGATGGCGCACCGGACACCTGCACCAAGTACCGAGAGATGGTGCGTCAGGCGGGGCAGCGGGACGGTCCCCGAACCTAGAT